CACACCACACACACTGCACGTCCGACTGCGGGGAAACAGAAAGGCCGGCAGCTGCGAGTTGAACCGAGGAACGGGGCGAAGGAAGATGCTCTCTGTCGGGGCTTGGCGCCTCCTCCCCGCCCCCCCTTCCGCTGCCCCTTCGCCCCGGTGACGCCGCTCTCCGTGGCGAATGCCCGTAACCTGGGCGGTCCTCCACCCACCTCGGTACCCAAGTTGAGTTGCAGGGGGCGGCGTTGCTAGCCAGGGCGCGCCTCCGGTGGCCTCCAGAGCCCCTGCCTCCCGCTCAGCCTAGCCAGGGGGACTCCCTGCTCCTTGTCCGCCCGTAGGGGCCCGAGGGACGCGTTGGCGTCGCCCCTTTAAGGCCCCGTCTGTTTACAAGGCGAGCCGGGGGGGGGGCGCGTCACGTGGCCTCCAGCTGGCCGGCCCAAGGTAGTGCCCACCTGCTGGTCCGCGCGGGCTTGGGACGGCGAGGGAGGCGCCGGCAGCGGGGCCCGATGGAGGCGCCTTGGGAGGACGCGTCGCTGCAGGGTGAGCGAGCGAGGCAGCGAGCGAGGGAGGGAGGGAGGGAGGGAGACGGGGAAGGGCCGCCGGACGGGGCGCGAGGTCCCCGGCTCTGACCGCCCCGTCCGTGGTGGCCCCTGCGGCTCCTCCTTTGCAGGCTCCTGGGTGGAGGTGCCTCCTTTCGGGCAGGAGCCGCCCATGCTGGCCTGCGCGCCCTGCGGCGGCGACCTGGAAGCGGTCCTGTTGGAAGCCCAGATGGAGGCGGAGCGCGGCGACGGGTAAGTGGCCGCCCCCCCCCAGGCTAAGCCGGCGGACCGGGGGCCTGCCGAGGCGCGGTGGAACTCCTCGCTACTGGCCCCGAGAGAGCCCCCCAGCGGGCGATCCGGCATGCCGGTAGGCAGGGGCTGCCCGGCGCAGGTTGGGAGCTGCTGGCTCGGCAGCTGAGCCTGAGCCGTAGACGGTTCTTCTTCCTTCCTCGCAAGTTATGCGCCGGGCAACAGAACTCCACGAATCCCTGAATAAGAACCGGCAGGAGCGCCGTTAGAAAGGTCCACGTCAAGGCCAAGAGGATGCTCAGCCCTGGGAGGGTCTCTCAGGGCAGGGGCTGGGGAGGGGCGTGTGCGGAAGGCTGCCGGCAAAACGGAGTCCCAGAGGGACAGAGGCCCGGAGGGAGGGAGGGAGGGCGTGAAAAGAGAAGGAACCCCAGCCGGCTGGGGGGAAAGGGCCGCTTCCCATTACCAGCGGTCCCGAAATGTCTGGACACCCACATCAGGCCCTCGAGCCTCCCCTCCCCCCCCTCCTGGAGGACTTCTGATGCCTTCCCTGGGGATGGGAGGGAGCGACCTGGAGGCACCCAAGTCATTTCAGAGGGACTGATCCTGCTTCTTCTCTTCGCAGTCCACTCCTGGCATTGAAAGTACCCGCTGCAGAGGACCTGAGTGTGGGGCAGGTGAGTGCCAGCAGGGAAGCTGTTGAAGGAACACCATGCACGCAGGCCAGCCCCTCGCCCGCCCAGCTTCCTTGGAGGTCATTGCTTCAGCTAGCTGCAGGAATCCAAAGCGTGGGAAGGCATCACGGCCAGCCCCACAGGATAGGCTTCCAGGAGGCCCCAAGAGCTGGCTCCAAAGGGGGAGGAGAGGGTCTTTCCCACAGATTCTGTTTCTCCTTGCAGAGGGAAGACCTGGAGAGCCCGGTCCAGAGGGGGGTCCTGGCTTGGCCATGGTCTAGCGCCCCTGAACATCTCTCCTCCAAGTAAGACTCATGCCCTCATCCCTGCTTCTCACTGGCTCCAACCCCGGGTGTGGGGGTGGGCTTTTTGCACCCGAGAGATCCCCCTCCCTCCCTCCCTCCCTCTCCCTGCTTCTGAACTCTCTTTCTTTGTAGGGAGTCAGCCTGTATTTCCCCTGTGGTAACGTGCCCCTCCTTGCTCAGCCCGGCTCTGCACAGGAGGAGGGGGCTGCGGGACCCCCAGCTGCTACTCCTCATCATCCCCTCTCTGCTACTCAGCCATGTCGTGGCCCTAGGCCTTGGGTGAGTGAGGCGGAGTGTAGGCAGAGGCAGAAAAGCCTCCTGTCCCTAGGCTCTTGAGCCTGCATCGCACAAATGCCCTCGCAGCTTCCTTGCCACGAATTCACTGCCAACCCCAGCAGCCTGTAAACTGGGGGGGGGGGTTGGAGGGAGGGGGGGGAGACCTGGCCAAAGTGGTAGTTTACCCCTCATTCTCTCTTTCGCGTTTCAACCCTCACCCACCCACCCAGCTCTGCCCCAGCTGACACGGCCCTCCTCTCTTTCTTTCCTCCCTCCCTTTCCTCCAGCATCTGCATCGGCAAGCGCCTGGCCACCTCCTCGGCAAGCAGCCTGTGATGGGGCACAGCCATCTCTCCCTGGATCCCTCTCTTCAGAGCCCTGCTCCCCCCTCTCCCTGAATGGCCAGCTGAGGAGAGATCCCCAAGCCAGGATCATTTCCCCAGGACCTTCTCCTGCCTGAAAAAAAGAGAAGAAACGATGGAAAGAGCTTGCAATCCAAATATCATGTGTGTCTCAATCTTTCTGGGCCTCAGGGGCCACATCCGAACCCCCCCCAAAGTCTTGATGGCCTCAGCCCCCAAGCCCCTTCTCCTGTCGAGGGGCAAGGATTCTGCAGCTCCCTTCTTTTCTGGGCAGCTTGCTGGGGAGGGTGGGCCTGGTTTTTGACTGACATAGAGAAGATAGATTTTTAAATGCAGCATATGAGTGGCTTGTGGAAATCCCTAGCACTAGAAGCCATGGCAGGTGGTATGCAATATTACCAAACCCATCCAGGCAAATTGGGGGCTCAATGAACGATAGGGAAGGAGACAGAGAAGCCCAGCCCGTTGTCCGCGGACAGATTTCAAGGCTGCTGAAATGGGGGGGGGAGGGGGCTCTGGCTCTTCCCCTTCCTGCTCAGTCCTTGGACCCAAATGTTGGAACACCAGCTGGTTAGCAGGAGGGCACTCAGGCCAGAACGGCCCCCTCCCTGCCACCGGCCGCGTGCAGGCTGCCTCGCTCACCCTCAGCATTAGAACTCCGCGGACTGCTCTCCTCTGCAGACTTGACCGCGACGCCCTTCCTTTCCGTGAATAAACCCTGGTGAAAAGCTCTTGGTCGCCCAGAGTCCTTCCGATGGCGGGCGGCTGGTGGTGGTGGTGGTGGTGGTGAGAAGGCATCACCAGCCGAGGCGAGCAGCGGGAAAGGCGGGGAGATCGCTTGGCCGGCTGCCGGGCCTGGAGGGGATGGCCATTTGGCACCGGGATCCGTCCAGGTCACGCCTTTTGCCAGGGTGGAGGTGGAGAGCGGGCAGCCTGCTTCGGAGAAGGAGCGCCTCCTGGGGGGGGGGACTGAGTCCGTTCCCCCCCCTCCGCCATGGCTCTGCCTCCAAAAGCGCTTGGGGAGAGCGAGAGAAGCCCCAACAGGCTTTTTTTCGGGGGGGGGGAAGGCTCCAGAAGGCTTTTTTGGAGCCGGGGTTGTAGCAACTTGCTGCTCTAATTTTGCCTGGAGCTTCCCTCCTTTCCTGAAGGGCGGGGCGAGGGGCGAGCCCCCCCCCCCCATCATCCTCCATGCCAAACTCTTCCCGGGCCCTCACGGGAGGCCCAGGTCATTTCAAGGGCTGGGGCCCTCTGAAGGAGTAGAACATAGTTAATAAAAAGGAATAAAACCAAACACCAAAGGGGTAAAGCGAGGAACCATGCACCCTTGGCCGAG